AACCTGGGGGAGGAAAATAATTTACAGACAGATACTTTTGAAACGAATACATAATTATCTCACCAGTATGTCATTGTGCAGCAAAGTCGTCAGCATTTTATTTGTCCTTTGAACGGGTGAAACGCGTTTTGAATGGCACTCGTATCGATGAATTTTACACTAAACCAAGCTCAGATCTAGCTTTATTTACCCGACGTTTCATCTTAAAACCGGAAGTGCGAGTTCGTAAATTTGAAATCTCGATCCCGACTCAAATTTGACATCGGAAAGAAAAAAAATGTTTTATTTTTTTTTTCTGAAAATTCAAAACCTTGAGCGGAGGGTTTGTAAAACTGAAAATAAAATAAATCCTGGCCTTAAATATGTAATTAGGTCATTAGTATATTAACCAGGAGCAAAGGATAAAATGTTCAAAGAATTCATGCATTTCACTATTAGAGCCCCACCCTAAAACAAGAACCCCTGACCCTGGGGCCATAAAATTCACAATTTTGGTAGAGGCACTCTTGCTCATCATAACTATGTACTTAGTTAGTTTATTTAATAGAGAAGAAGATTTTCAAAGAATTCATGTATTTCACTATATAATCAATAGAGCCCCGCCCTAACACCAGAACCCCTGACCTGGGGCCATAAAATTCACAATTTTGGTAGAGGCACTCTTGCTCATCACAACTATGTACTTAGTTGGTTTATTTAATACCCAGGAGCAGAAAAGAAGATTTTCAAAGAAATAATGCATTTTCACTACCTACTTATTGAGCCCCACCCTAGCACTTGAACCCCTGACCCCAGGGCCATGAATTTCACAATTTTGGTAGAGGACTCATTGCTGATAACAATCATGCAAACAGTTTGACTGCTTGATGTCCAGGAGTAAAGAAGAAGATTTTTAAAGATTGCATTAATTTTAGTGGTTTTGGCCCCACCCTTCAAGCCCCAGGGGGGCAGGGATCATGAAATTCACAATTTTTGTTCCCCTTCACCCATAGATGCTTTGTGCCAAATTTGGTTGAAATTGGTTCAGTGGTTGCAGATGAAAATGTTCAAATGTTAACGCACGGCGCACGACGGACGACGGACGACGCACGACGACGGACGAATAGGATAGCAATAGGTCACCTGAGTTTACTCAGGTGACCTAAAAATACAATGTCACAAACAACCATTGACAAAACCACACTGCAACCAAACTGAAACAACCTATGTCACAATTTTACATCCAAACAGGAAACCAAAGCATAGCGAAACATATATGGGGGATGAAAATCATTTTGCTAGCATTTCATTATAAGTGTGTTTGCTATTAGTATTTGTATTTTGACTTAATTAACACAATTTTGTCATTTTCTTGATATTAACATTTTTCAGCTTGCCTCAGGTACAAGTGAAAATGTTTTGCAGACAAGTGAGTATTGCTGGGGACTTGTCTGCAAAACAAGTGATTTTTCTGCTATTCATTTACATGTAATGCCAAGATATGAAAAAACAAATTACACATGCAGAAGCTTCGATCTAATTATGATTCCACTAATATACATGTTTGAGAGGGAATGTGTGCAAATTTATGTCTTATAGAAAATAAATAACTCTGACTCTTAATATATGTTCAATAAATTAAAACTTTATTTTCCATATCTTCTTCAAGCTGGGAGAGATAATGAGGCAAAGAGAAAGACAGCATTATTGAAGATCACTGCAATATAACTCAATATAGCCTCACTCCATATGTAAGCATAATATACGATGTACTGGTACTTTAATTCTAGACACCTCTCCTAATATAAAACCCCAACAGGGCATCAATAAAAAACCTTTCTATTCCTCCCTCATGCATGGTTTGTTAAATCTGCCTAGTAATTCTTCTAACATGGAAAGTAAATTAGATTTTAATTGAAGTTTCACTTTTCACTTCATTCCATATTGCAGCATGTTGTTCGAGTCATTATAACAACATAAAGGTTTGGGGCTGAGTATTACATCAAATGTGGATACCCGGCCAATTAAAGCTGGGTTTAACTGAGTAAGGGAATTAGGGATACTCTCTGAGAATGACAGTCCACATCTAATCCCGCTATCTACAGAGTAACTTGTATGATTCCTGATACACTGAGAGAGGACAGACCACATATGGAGAGTGTATTATATCTCCATACACGGGACTCAAATGACGGATGTCAACAGAAAACAAAACTCTGTGGAGCGAATACCAGGGTATTATCTTAAACCAGGATTTTCTCAAGCATCACAAATCCTCTTGTTTGTCTGAACAATGATACCACTCCAAAAAACATTCTATCCACAATATCAACTCATACAAACAATGATACCACTCCAAAAAACATTCTATCCACAATATCAACTCATACAAACAATGATACCACTCCAAAAAACATTCTATCCACAATATCAACTCATACGCACAATGAACAATGATACCACTCCAAAAAACATTCTATCCACAATATCAACTCATACGCACAATGTACAAAAAAAATGCATAGCCTTCACTGATTCAGAAATTTTTTGACAATGTACATAACCATGAAAGTTAGAATTATTTAAATCAATTAGGCCAAACACATCCTACATACCTAATGAATTTTAACTTTGAAATAGTTTGAACAACTTCTGACACTTTACTCTCTCATTTACATGTGTGTATGTACATTATCATTAATTCATTATCATACATTAATTTAACATGAGAATATTATAAGCTTTAATAAATTTTTTCCCCTTTTATCTGTAATTTGATTTTTTTTTATATTTTGACTGTATACCAACATGGTGATGTGGATATATTGAATTCAATTGTAAATTATTGAGGATCAAGATTTTAATTCCATTTTATTCCAATATTGTCTGCTTATTAAAGTGTAACAAATATTGTTACTATTCCAGAAACAGACAAAAATAATTTGAATATGGACCATTATACATGTAGAACAATACTTAGTGCACTGTCAAACTCTACAGAAAGACTTAACCATGTTAAACTTACGAAAACATGATTGTATGTAGAGAACAATTTCAAGCAACAACCACCAGACTCTGTGCACCATAAAAAATGATGAAATCACCTCCAACAAAAATGTTATTAGGAATTCTATGAATTGCAGGTGAACTGTCTGCTATCATAGAGGATTAATCTTTTCTAATCCAGCATCATTGAGGAGAATTACTGGGTAAACATCAATGATTGACTTAGCAAACTGGTTTAATTATTTACACAAACATGTCTACAGAAAAAGGACTGGAGAACCATTCATAGCAATGGGAATTTAGGTGTACAGCAAAACTCGTTTAGTATGAACACGGATATGGCGAATATACGGATATAGCGAAGTTATCTTATATCCCCAGCTACATATATTTAACGAATTCCTTCTGCGGATATAACGAATTACGGATATAGCGAAGTAATTTTATTGGTCCCTGTTACTTCGTTATAACCGAGTTTTACTGTAGATTGCACATGCATCCAGATTTACTTTAGAAAAAAAATCTTAGGACACTTTTAAAATTAAATATAAATAAATAGATAAAATTAGCATATTAATATATATATAATTATATTAAATAGATTAATTTTTCATGTACCTTTGATAATATTTAGATTAATTTATATGTAAGTTTGACATTTCTCTCAGGGGCTGACAGATTTTTTTAAGCACTTGTCCACGGGCAAGTGCATGGCATATTTCACTTAATTGGTCTACTTCAATTTTTACTTGCCCCTCCGTAAACTATAAATTAAAGATAACACTTATAACAAAATAATTTTTATTTGGTGTAAAATTATAAGCCTAACATTTTTTTTAAATATGTATTGATTGATTTTTTTAAAGTCACTTGCCCCGGACAAGTGCCTGTAAAAAATTCACTTGTCAGCCTTTAAAATTAACTTGCCCCAGCAACGGGCAATGGGATTTGACAGCCCCTGTCTGTGATCTATGAATTGATTATGTATATATCTGATACAATGCAAATTTAAAAATTTACATTATATATTATTATTATAAATTTAAATTTCAAAAATATAGTAATAAATGAAATATAGTTTTTTTCCTGTCTTCCAGCATGCTCAGTATTAATATATTTAAAAATTCACATGCTGGTTTGAATGTTTTTAATATTTCAAATTGTCAATAAATAAAAAAAATGGATTCAGCAAAACTTTTTTTGTAAACTTTCTCAATCATTAAATGCCCCCCCCCCCCCTTCACCAAACATGCCCCCCTCCCCCCTCCAAAAAAAAAAATTAATAAAATTAAAGTTACACAGTCAGGGGTCACTTGCTACATGTAAAGTAATAGAAGGACAACAGTTTAATCATTGGATCAATTATTTCTTAGCATTGGGTAAAAAATATAAAACATATATATTTATTATCAAATATAATCGATATTAAAATTTAAAGAATAAAAATATAGAAACTTTTTTTGCTCTTAAATCAAAATGATGTAGTCTTCAGAAATTGTGTTATTTTCAAAGCTTGTTTTATGATTTTTAGCTGTTTCTATTCTTGTCAAAGTTAAATTAAGAAATTGCATAAAAACACCCACTAATGAAAGTTTTTTTTTTTTAATCAGTTATTTTTGACATGAAATAATGGGTTTCTAAATACAGCTACTTTTCAGAGGATGGGACTAAACCAAACTTTAGGCTTTTGATATCACCATTTTACAAAGGAGCTATTTAGCCTCAGGGGAGATGGTCGGCTTTACTCAGCATCGGCAGCAGAGTGTTCAGAGAGTGCTTATTATCATATCAACAAATCTTCTAAACAGTAAACATGATTTCAACATTACCAACCAAAACAAAACTCAAATACATCATAAACCATAGCTCCATGTCGTCAATCTGCATCCCCGTACATCCTAAATTCATTATAGGAAACTCTTTATTAAATCTTTAGCCCTAAGACAATGATGTTTTCTTTTCTACCAACTTCTGATTCATGGCACCAAAAGTGCTGGAAAGAAATAACCACTTACCCAGCAGACGATAGGTTTCATGAGCGTCCAGGTATAAATCCAGGTCAGTCTTACAAACTGTTACAAATCCCAAAAAAGTCAAAGCACTGGCCAGCACAAAACACTTCATTCTCATAGACTGCTACATTCCAAATGCCCCTTCCGTGCTGTTGACATTTCCACTCAGAAAGTAAATGACGGAATTGATAACGGTCGAAGAGTAACATTGACGGAATAGTTCACCTAGTCACGTGAGGAGGAATTTTAATATTTTCTGGAACACACTCAAAACTGAAATAATTTACAGAACTTAAATCATAAAAGCAGATGATTTATTAGATCGACGTTAACAATTGTTTGTTTTTTTTACTACACAGGTATTCCTTGAGAAAAATGCGCAGAAGATGATAAGCTACATGTAAATCCAATATATCTTGGGATTAATCCATTAAAATGGCATATTCTGTATAATAAGTCTAACTGCTTTATTAACATATAAAAAACAATTAGAATAGAATAGAGAGCTCTAAGTTTAATTAATATTTACATAATGTATTATTAATTATTATTGTTAACTATAGTGACAAACTCGGATATGGACATTTGAAACAAAGATATAAATTATATTGTAGGTTACAACTTTATTTTCAACTTCTTCAACACTTCAATGGTAAATCTTTACACTGTATTTCAATGGACGTAGCATCGTTTTTGAAAGTGGAGGAGGGGGCCAATCAGAACAAAGTAATGTCAACTTACCTTAAAAAACCCCTGACAACCCCAAAAAGGGGGTGACTTATCCAAACCCGAAAATCCCATATATTTCGTCGGGGGGGGGGGGGGGGGGTGAATTAATTTTTTGTGGAAGGGGGGGGGGGGGCTACCGACCTTTCAATGAACATTAATTTTTCAATCGTGAAAAGTTATGTTCGTAAAAAAGTGGGACAAACCCCCTCCTACTGATGCTATGCGCATGCATTCCAGTAGCTGCAATAACGTAGCCCTCTCCGATTTTTTTAATCTGGTGTTTTCTTTCTCCACTTTTCAGGTTTTTCTGTAGCTTTCCCTCCTATTTTTTTCAAAAACTAGAGGTACTGTGAGCAATGAGCTCACTAAATGATACCCCTCGCCTCCCATATGAATATAATGGCAGTGACCATGTTTTGCTCTGGAAAATCCAAAATATATGTCAGATCAAAAAGTAAAATAGGAGGTGCACAATGGCAATATGTAATGAAGATTCTGTGAAAGTTTCATTAAATTTCCTTCAGTGGTATGAGAGGAGTTGCGGATAAGAGATGGGTACCCCAAAGCGTAACAGACGGACGGACGGACGGAAATACCGATTATACCCTCCCACTTTTCAAGCGGGGGGTATAACAAAACACCCCCTCCCCAAAATAAAAAAAACCGATGCTTCTTCCCTGTAAGGAGATAAAAATTATAACGGAGTACTTTTTATACTTTACCACTTCTACATAGCATTCATTTTGAATAATGTACAATTTTAATTTAGAACAATATACCACGAAGAATGAGCAATTTGACACTCCCCCCCCCCCCCCACCTCCCATTGAATTCAAATTGAAAAAAGAAGATCGGTAAACTACGGAGAGAAATGTCCATCTGCTTAACAAACAGAGAAGTGGAAGAGAAGATAGAAAATTAATTTTAAAAAAAAACTTTTATAACGTACTCTAATTTGGATTGAAGGGATTATTTGCATGCGCCTAAGTTAATATTATACCATTCCCACACTCAGGCGCTGTCCATTTCCACGTATAAACTAAATTCTATCACAATATGTACAAATGGAGGAATCTTCGATCGTTTCACTTATTATACCCCCGGCTTGAAAAGTGGGAGGGTAAATAATAATCGGTATTTCCGTCCGTCCGTCTGTTACGTTTTGGGGTACCCATCTCTTATCCGCAACTCCTCTCATAACACTGAAGGAAATTTAATGAAACTTTCACAGAATCTTCATTACATATTGCCATTGTGCACCTCCTATTTTACTTTTTGATCTGACATATATTTTGGATTTTCCAGAGCAAAACATGGACACTGCCATTATATTCATATGGGAGGCGGGGGGGGGGGGGGGTATCATTTAGTGAGCTCAGTGCTCACAGTACCTCTGGTTTGAAAATATTTCTTCGAAGTATGAGTTGAGATAAAGCACTTCTATGTTAAAATTACAATTTTGTTGAGAAACGTTTACTTCTGCAGTGAAATTTGAAGTCCTTTTGTTTTCAATCACAAACAAAAATTTAACTGTAGTGTAATCAGTGACGGATCCAGAAGAGGGGGGGGGGGGCCCCCTCCCCCCCCCCCCTTGGATTTGCTAAAAAGAGAAAGAATAGAGTCCCCAAATTTTGTTGTGTTTTTACTATAGAAAATGTTCAGGGAAAGGTTAATGTATCTATCGTGAGAGATCATAACATAAAGTGTAGAAAAAGTCGTAAAAGTAAAGTTTTTAAAAATGTCAAAACAATATTTAGATAAGAATATGCCGTATCACAATATATCTGAAGTTTCTCCTTTAAAACAGTGTTTATTTTATAAGGAGAAAGATAAAACTTGGCAGAGCATTTTCTGGACCTGACAACGTATTTCTATATGGAATTTTCTCAAGTTCAGTATTTAAAAAAAAATCCGGAAAATAGATTGGTTTGGTTTTATATTTATATTGTACTCTCTAAACAAATGTAGCTTAAATGTTGCATTAACTTTCAAACAACATTCTTATTAACATACGATAATATTAAGCTTGTTTTTCTGATCTGGCGTATCTTGTAAATGCGTGTGCAGTCAAAAGAAAAGATTTTTTTGTTTGGGTGTTTTATTTAAAGACTACATTATCACTTCCGGTAAGTCTGTGAACAGAAAAAAACATATTTATTTTATTAGAATTTGACCAAATGGTACGTACGATCCACTTCAAATGGAATGAAGATGTTTGATGTTACATAAATCTTCGTTAGAATTTCTGAATACTTTCTTTTCTCGCCGGTGATGTTAGGATTTTCATGGGCATTCTTTCCCTATGGAGAATGGTCACTGACTGAGTTTTTCCTTGATTTTATCATTTGGTTTTGAAACTAAGCAGTTTCAGTATTAGTAAAAATGTCAAATTTTGAAAAGTAATTTGAGAATACCTTTTCTGTTTGTAATTCTTACTTTGTGTGATAGCATCTATATAAAAATGCAAGCTTCTGTTTAGCCCGAGATTCCTCTGTCTCCTAAAAATGTGACCACAGGGGTTTGCTCCCGGCTTTTACTAAATATTTAATTAAAATTTATCTATTAAATACTTAAACACGAAAGGGAGGACATCATTTTCTCCTCCAAAATGTCCAAAGCGCATGTTTGGATTATTATTAACTTGAAATATAACACGTATTGTAGGGGCTCCAACTCCTAGAGGATTATTCAAGAATTATGTCTTAGGAAAATCAAAGCAGAGCCCATATCAAAAGATGGAAATCCGGTTATTTTTCATTAAGATTTCATGTTAGTTGTCTTTTTTGTTACAGAGTACAGACTGAACAGAAATGACAACAGCAGCTCGTCCAACATTTGAACCGGCCAGAGGTGGTAGAGGGAAAAATGAAGGGGATCTCAGTGCCCTATCCAAACAGTATTCAAGTCGAGATTTACCAGCGCACACCAAAATCAAATACAGGTATGAAGGATGTCAGAAGCCTCTCTGACTTATTGAATTTACTGTTTAAATCAGAAGCAAAAAATAACACTGTGGACTTGTCTGATCTTGACATAATTGATACAAAATATTTTAAAATTCATTGAGACGAAAATGTTAACAATACTGTAGAAGTACTTTTTTCCGCGTGGTATTAATTTACGCTATGTACGCGGTCACAAATTCTCCGCGGATATTTGTCCAAGCTTACTTGATATTAATGTAAGACATATAGTGACAGTCTAAGAGTAATTTTCTACCCGCGGATTAAACAGAAATTGAGATTCCGCAGAATTATGACTCCGTGGAAAAAAGTACATCTACAGTAATTCAAATTTTGACAATGATTGTGAAGAAGTAAGCTAAAGTAAATGGGAAAGGTGTTAAACTATGAATCATGTTAAATTAATGACACATGTAGTAATTTATATTTTATGTTTACAGGCAGGAAGGACAAGGTACAACAGAGGAACTTAGAGGCCGTGATTTCAGAAGAGATTTAGATGAGAGGGAAAGAACTGTCAGAGAAAAAAGAGATAGAAACAGGGGTAATTGTCATTTGTACCATAAATCTGGTCCAGTAAAATATCTAAGGTTACAAATGAATTTAAAATACAGATATATTATAGACTTGTCGAAATTTTTTAATCACTGTCAGACATTTGGTCTGTCAAAGTCGAATGTTCTGTCGGACCAGTCAAACTTTTGTCAGACCAGATACTTGTACCTTATTTTGATGCTGATAAAGTTATATGAATAACAGCACCAAAATGTCCTTTATTATTTTCAATAGCCTTCAATCTAACAAGTTTCTTTTCTTGGGATAGAGAGTCTTTAACATAGACATAAATGACAAGTTTTATGACTTTGCTATATTTTAACAAATTTACTTAGCCATCGTCAACATGCTGCATACGCGGCCATTTTTTTCTGTGTTTGTGACCTTTAACTAAGCATCCCGATCCCGACTTTTATTAAATTTGCATTATGCGCAATTTTTTTCAATTGGTCATCTGGACCAACATTTTCTTAAATGTTATCGGTCCAGGCAAATTTTTACCGGCCTTGCCGACAGGACCGACAGATTTCAACAAGTCTGTATTACAGGGAGAAATGTCATAATTTGATGTCAGCTAAATATGAAATTATAACTGTTATTTGCTGGCATTCTTGTGTTTTAAAAGGTAACTAAAAAAAGAATTCAGAATGTCGTCCTGCAATTTGAAATACCATAAAAAAAAATCACAAATTTCCTGGTACAAGCAGTGAGTTACTCTTCATAAAAGTAAACAAAACATGAAGAAAAATATTGTTTTACAGAATCAGGCAGCAGTAAGAGGCCTCGCCTAGATCAGGTTCCTGCGGCTAATTTAGATGCAGATGACCCAGTCGATGAAGAGGTAAACATTGTGTTACTTTAATTTTTAGTGTATGATCAAAGAATGTTATTTATCAGTTCAACAAAATTTTACTTAAATTGTCATGCATTCATTCCCCTTTTCATTTTTCCTTGTCCACCATCTATTGTTTTTCTGTCTCACCATAAGAAAATTTTCAGAATGCATCTCGATTTTCATTTTTTAGTGAATTTTACAAAACACAGAATATTATTAACTAAATCGAGAAAGATATAATTCCATGCATTGATTTCTTGATTTGTATTTTTGCTATTTTAATATTCATAAATGTCTTTATTCCAAAACAATGTTCCATGTTTTTAATGCCCCTTTGATTTTTAATACTGAAATTTGTGTTGTATTAATATTTCAAATATCACTAGATTTTGACTGATCCAGACTTACGTTTTATAGGATGAGGATGAGTCTTCTGATGATGAAGATGACACCGCTGAGTTAATGGCCGAACTCCAGAAAATCAAGAAGGAACGAGCCAATGAAAAAGCAAGAATGGTAAATTGTTTTGTAATATAATTTTGATGAAAATGAAGCATTTGAGGAAGAGCACATCTAATTACTATGCCACAAAATGTTTGGAATGTGGGAGTCCCTGTCTGTCTACCATGCTATATGTGTCAGTACCAGTGTTGTACTAGTGACCATTATCCAAGATAATAAAGCTAAATGCAGTTATTCTTGGAATTAAAGGTGTGTCATCACTCACTTTATATAAAATGAAGGAAAAGCTCATAAATTTCTTATGTCCATGTGATGCATAATTATTTCATCTACTTGTCAACTGGGCAATTATTTTTGGACTGGAAAAAAATGTGAAAAAAATTATTTGAGGCTCATATTTGACACAGAGATTGATTATAACCTAAGAATTTGTGATGAATTTGATTTGGGGTCATTTGCACAAGGTCAAGAAAGAATAACATGTGGAAGTTACCATTCTCTGAGCTCACTCACAGATTCAGGTCCAGTTAGTCACATGACAGCTTTTGAATTTTTTTTTTGAATCTCCCGGTGATGCATGTTGTATTGAATTTTTAGGATGCAGAGAAGAAAGCAGAGGAAGAGAGAATTAGAACCGAGAACATTCTGAAGGGGAATCCCCTACTAAACCAGCAGGAGAAAAATGCCACAGATTTCAAAGTCAAGCGAAGGTATATAGAACAAAGTGTTCAGAGGTTAGAGAGTGTCTGATGTCTGAAGAACAGGGTATAATGAATTCCTTCAGTTTAATATTTGAAGACTATAGTTGTATCAATTTAGGCTATTTAAATCCTGAAACACAGAGAATAAGTTAAAATGGGTTATTCTGATGAATAATAGAATATATTTGATGATTAAAGTTACGGTAAGTAAATCGTATAAAAAATAATGCAATTGGTACTGCATGATTTTCCTACTTTTTTTTTGAAAAACAACTAAAAATGCTACAAGAGGATATGATTAATAGGTACTGCTAATTTTAAAAATGTTGCTTTGTTTTGGTGTAGGTGGGACGATGATGTTGTGTTTAAGAACTGTGCTAAAGGAGAAGACGATAAAAAAAAGAGTGCATTCATTAATGACACCTTGAGATCAGAATTCCACAAAAAATTCATGGAGAAATATGTAAAATAAATCGACTCTCACTGTGGATAAGAAGGCTAAAGAAACAAAGTTAAAGTAACAAAGTGCAGCAGCTGATTTAGCTCTGGGATTGTTAGTGAGGTCCTCTTTGATTGGCTAGTGAATTTTATGTATGTCAAAATAGAGTAACCGGGAACTGGAGGACTACGAACATGTCCCATTGCTTAAAGGAACACAGAAGACTATAATACACACTTGTGAAAGATGGTCTCTTTTGGTTAATATATATTACTCTATCAATATGAAATGTATAGACACAATTAATTTCTTGTCTTACATGTATGTGATGAAAGTAGCAAATAAGTTTTAGGACCCACTCAAGGCAGTTCTTTCAAGCAAACTGTGTGCAAGCAATAATTTGGGAAATTTCCATTTTTATTCCATATTATCAAAACAAAATTTTGCTGTTAAAAGTGTATTTCTATTTTGTCACAAGTTTTCTTTAAAAAAAAACCCCACTCAACTTGATGGGGAAATTTTTTTGTAAAGTGGTAGCCCTAAACGACATTGGTAATGAATTATGTATATGTATCTTTCCTACTGAAAATATTCATTTTAATGTTATTTAAGGCACATATCATTACTAGAAATATTTATAAATTGTGTCTTTACAGCAGAGCTATTAAACAAATATTTGATATTTCTCACACATTTGAAACTTGGTATTGATGTGTTAGGTTTTGTAAATAAACTGCATGAATCAGAAAATCTGACCAATTTGCGGTTGTGTAGTAGTCAGATATTGTATCTTTATAATCACACGTTTGCTTTTACATGTTACAATTTGTCCATCTGTTCAAGTGTTTTATAAAAATGTGTGATTATTTGTAAAAATAAAAGTAGTGTGAGATTTGCATTGTTTTGTTTTTGTTGTACATATGTATTATGAATATGAAATACAGTTAATTCTCGATAAACCGCCACCTTTTGTAATTTAGAAATCATGGCGGTATTTGGCGATGAATTGAATTTCCCATCTTTTAGGAAACAAGAAGTAGAGTTATCGTTCTTAGAAATACCATTAAGCATTTCTATTCTTAATATTACATGTACATATATATAAAAACATATTTCTAAATTTGAAAATACTTCTAGTAATTTTTTTTATGTACAATTTTGCTAAAACAAAATGTATATGAAATAAAGACAAGTACATTACTGCATGCATGTAAATCTGCACGTCTGATATTGAAAAAAAAATACTGGGTCTATCGTCATGATATTACGGAAGCCCGTTGGTGCCACGTACGAAAAATATTTTATCTGGCGGCCGCCACTTATTATTTGGCGGCCGCCACTTGTATATATGGCGGCCGCCACATAATTATGTGGCGGTCGCCACTTATTATTTGGCGGCCGCCACTTATATATCTGGCGGCCACCACTTAATATATGGCGGCCGCCACATAATTTTTATGGCAGCCGCCACATATTTTTCTGGCGGCCGCTATATAATATCTGGCGGCCGCCACATATTTTTCTAGCGGTCGCTATATAATATCTGGCGGACGCCACATAATTTATCTGGCGGCCGCTATATAACATCTGGCGATCGCCACTTATTAATTGGTGGCCGCCACATGATTTATCTGGCGGCCGCCACTTATTTTATTGGCGGCCGCCAAATATTTATCTGGCGGCCGTCACTTATATATCTGGCGGCCGCTACATAATATTTGGCGGCCGCCACATAATTTATATGGCGGCCGCCAGATAACACCTGGCTTCCTGAATCGCGCGCATGTTTTAATGTGTGGTTTAAGAGGTGGATACAGTGTAAAAATTATAATAGCAACATCAATCAACCAAACTTGTAAGAGATTTATTATGAACCAACACTCCAATCCACACTTCTTATAGATATGTTTTAGCATAGAGCAGATTAATATTTGATTTGAATTATGCAAGTATTTGTAGATTGTTTCGATTATTAAGAAGCCTCATCAGGGGTCACGGACATAAATCATGGTGTTTGCTGTAAGCTATGATTGGTTGAGAATTAAATGAAGTTTTGCAATTTGGATTTCCAAGAATGGTGTTCCAATATTTCAGAATTCGTTTTTTATCATTTACTTTTTTATCAATAAGCAGCGGTTGTGTCAACATCCATCTTCTTAACCCAATAACACTCACCTTTTGCAAAATAATTTATGTGGCGGCCGCCAGATATATAAGTGGCGGCAGCCAAATAATAAATGGCGGCCGCCAGATATTAAGTGGCGGCCGCCAGATACACAAGTGGCGGCCGCCAAATAATAAGTGGCGGCCGCCAGATATATATGTGGCGGCCGCCAAATAATAAGTAGCGGCCGCCAGATATATATGTGGCGGCCGCCAAATAATAAGTAGCGGCCGCCAGATAAAATATTTTTCATACGTGGCACCAACGGGCTTCCGTATGATATATTGCCGATAGTACGTAAAATGAATTCTTGAATAAATTCATTGTTTATGACATCATTGTTGATGAAACGTTCACAATTTCTACTACATATAATTATTTTTTAAGCAAACTTTTCATTGCTTAAAGCATAAAATAATATCGTTATTGGCGAACTTGAACAACAACTGCTTTCGTGGCGAAGCCGTAACTAAATGATTTTTATTAAACAGAAACGAAATTATTATAACGGTTCATGTGAAAATTATTGTTTATTTAATTCTTATTTAATTAAATAATTGCATGTACCTTGTCTGGCTTTGTATGCTTAATGACAGGGATAGCGTCAACCAATTAGCTGCGCTTCACTGACCACTTGCACCTGTGGCGGTATATGGAGATAATTGACACTTAAAAATGGACGTTTGTTTTGAAAACGGTGGCGGATGGCGGTATGCGAATTTAGCGTTATAAAGAGAATTTTATATCGCAGGAAAATCGTTCTTGGGGAATCATGGCGGTATTGCGAAAATGGCGATGAATCGAATGGCGATAATTCGAGAATTGACTGTATTGTAAAGGTGGATAATATAATTGACATTTTGATTGATGGCTTTTACTCTAAATTAAATTTATAGGTGAACATATATTATTGGTAATTTCAGTTAAGTGTGAAGTTTTGCATGACGTCACGATCTTTTTCAACAGATGCATCCAGAGTAAACAATTCACAGGATTGGTCAACTCATATTATCAATATTGACACGGAAATAATCTGTTGCACGAGCAACCTATCAGGGATTAGAAAAAACTTCCAGTCGTAAAGCTTGCTGTTAGGAGGCGTGTACTATTTACCTTGAATGCAGCTGTCATCATAGGTTGTGACGTAATGCAAAACTTCACACTTAACTGAAATTACTAATAACCTTAAATCTAGACCAAAAAAAGGATATGGTAATCCAAGAATAAAAAAGGCACTTTATGCCACAACAAGTTTTCATGAGGGCACTTTTTAACATTTTTAAATATTACGAAGAAGTTAATAACAAATGATATTTGAATGGAATTATTGTAGATTGGGAAATAATCATAATGGTTTTAATTTTGATATGTTCGCGATTTATCATCTTTCCGCGCAATTCAACCCATAGTGAATATTATTATTAGCATTTTAAAAAGATTAAATGCTTATATGAAATTTTGAATTATTTTTTGCACTGTGAAATTAAAACCAAATGAAATTTTTTGAGATATTGAGAAATTTTAACACCGTGGAATTAAAACAACTTACAGTTATATAAGATGTAAACAGTATTATGATATTGTGAATTCTGTTCGAATTCTAAAGGAATATTGAAGGTACTTTTAAATTTGTTTATTTATACAAATCAATATCAGATGACCTAAGTCTTGTCAGTGAAAATTAGAATTAAATAGGTTTGTCTCAGTAAGAAAGACTGAGAGAGGTAGATATCAAATCACT